AATGCCAGTAGTCAGCAAGACCTTTAAAATGGCACAGAAATTCCAAAATAAACTTAAATACTTTCTTTCTCACTTAATAGCCTTCTGAATTGCTTAGGTTTGCAGCAGGTTACCTTCAGAAGTTGTAGGAAACTGAGACCAGAGATAGCCCCAAAGTGAGTGGATGAAATATTAGCGTGGGAGCAAGGGATTCCTTATCTGTTCTGTTGAATAGCAAACTTTGCTTTGTGGCTTAGAGGTGTGTTTGTCTGAAAGACAGAGCTCTTCAAAATGCTTATTGTACAGACTTTCCTAGTGGAAGTAGAATCCTACCGAGACATTTTAACTGGTGGAGAGTTAAAGAGGACTAATATGGAGAAGAAATATCTAATTGAAATATCATCTTAAGGTTTTTGATTTTTCAAACAGCTGAAGTGTCCATACAGTCTTTCTATTTAAGAACTTAATTGAAAAATATGTGGTTATGTGTAGTTATTATAATATTTTCAACATTTAGTACCACTGAAATTGAAAGCTATTGGCAGTGCTTTGAATCAATTATAAAACAAGAAGTATAAAACCTACAGAAGAAACTTACATGGTGGAGTTTTTCTTCTGATATCTGATGAAGTTTCATAATGTGATACATGCAAATTAATAAAGAATGTTTTGCAATCTCACTTGTGCACAAGACTTGTTTTGTTGCTTTCTTCGTGGTATTTGAGTGGTAAATGTTCAGCTTAATTATCTTAATGCACATCAGAGCTGCCCTCATTTCCCTTGGTCAGAAGAATAAAAAGGTTTCCCATAACCAGGAATTACCCTGGCCTCAGCACTCTGCGTGGGTGAGGCACCAAAACAGGGACCTGCTGGGTATGGTGGAGGGCAGTCTGGAGAATGATGAAACTTCTTGCTGAGTTGTCCTTGTTTGTGTGTGCCAGCCTCTGAAGCAAGGCATTCTGTGTTCTATAGCTGCACAGAAGCCTGGCTGGCAGCCTTATGTAAAGCAGCACAGATACAGAGCTCTGTGCATAATATAGAAAACATAGTTTCAGTACAGTTTCTTTCATCTCTCTGCTGAAGACTGACTGAGAAATGTCTTTCTGTTTTGCCCTCTCCTCTTGACCATGAGGTGGGTGGGAATTGTTGTACTGCAGAAACCACCTGTGCAGGGCAAGACCTTGCTGAGGGCACCCTGGACTGTCAGCATCCACTCTCCCTCCTGTCTTGATTGGCTAGAAGCCTTAAAAGTTGCAGGCAGTGTTGGCACTCTTTACATGAGATAGCCAAGTATGAACCTATTTCTGCAAATATTAGATGAGGTGCCATCTTTTGCAGTTGGCTGACTTTCCCCCTGCCCTTCAGTGATAGGGGATCATGGTCTGTATGCATTAGTACCTTTAATAAATACATGTGTATATGGGGTATAAACACCTAGACAGAAGTTGTAAACTACTGCTTCTAATTGGTGACCAAATGCAACTAATTGCTTTGGCTTGATTAATGTGTCATTTCTTCACATACACATGCTGTGACTGTCAGATGTCATATTAAAAATTGACAGTATTTGAAGTATTCTGATATTTATCAAGAAGATTAAGCAAATATACTGCTTTAAAGGACACATCTAGCTTTGAGGATGAGTTCACTTTATGTTAATATTTCAGTTGACTGTCTACTAGTTACTACTCTGATACGGAGACCAGTGAAATGCTGGAATAGCACAACTTTTGAGTACTGCAGTCTGTGGTGTCAAAAGCTGTTGTTGGATGTGGGGGTGGTGGCTGTTGTGCCTACAGAGCTCCTTGAAGAAAAGCATAGAGTTGTTTGCATTGCACCAGTTCACGTGTGTGAGATAAATTAGTATCACTGTAGACTGAGTGTTGCAAAAGAAAAACAATGAGATGTCTTCTGTTTTCTCTTCCAGACTGTCGTTTTACTCTGGCCATTCTTCATTCTCCATGTACTGCATGCTGTTCCTAGCAGTAAGTATGCTCTTTGCATCTACATGGCAACAAAGTAAAATATCTAGTTATCTAGTACAAAAATGGAAATATTTACTTGGCTGCTTTGTGCAAAGGACATTGTTTTTGTAGGATGCTTGTCTGAGAGAACCAAAGATTTCTCAGTAGGAGTTGTAAGGGAACACCACTGATACTAGGGCAAGAAGTAGAATTATTTTCAATAAACCTAAATATGGTAGTTGGTATGTATGTCTCATCTAAAGGTAAACAAGTGGGTTTGGAAAACTTAGTTATATTGGAAGTATTGAGTCATATTAAAATATATAATAAAACATGTCTGACTTAATGAAACATGCAAAGCCTATGTAAAAACCCAAAAACCTAAACTTACACTCTACTCAGGGGTGTGCCCGTAAGTACAAAGCAGCAGATCAACTAGAATGTTTAAATTCTATTTAATTTTCTCCCATCTTTTAGGGGTGGGGAGAGAGAATGAGGAAAGTGAGGGGACAGATTGTCTGTGGAATACTAGTGATAAGATCAATTCACTAATGCTTCATTTGGAGCCTAATATCTTTCAGTTCAAATTGTTTCATATCAGCTGAGGCAAATTATCTTCAGTCTTAGAATAAGCTTTGTAACACTGTGAGATTGATTTGGTTCTTTACCCCTGCTACTCTGTAATATTGAAGGTATTTAACAATTTTGTGCAGTTTTGTTGTTATTGCAGTTGTAAAGTTAAGCTCTCATCCTGTATATAAATTACTAGCACAATGCATACGTCAGGATATTCACAGAGCTCAGTATCAATTTGCCTTCTCATCTTGATTGCATTTTAAAGTTTTTTGCTGTCTCTTGGCAATAGCATCCACAGTGAGTGGACAGATTATTCAAAGCTGAACACCCTACAACTACATACAGAAAGCAGTGACTCTTCAGTTTGACTTAGGTGGTCTTTAATTTTGTTTTAAAACAAAGCTTTTTTGGAAGCTCAGTTCTATCATTGCATTTTGTTTATGGTAAACCTGTTTAGTTCCTCTCCCCTCACATACCTTTCCTTATCTAATGTAAATACAGAAAGTTTATGTAAGTACGAAGTCCTGGGTTTGTTTGAATATAGTGCAACTTCCTGTTACCTACTTTTTAGTGTCTATTCTTGCTCATTATTACTGGCAGTCTTCAAAATTATGTAGGTTTCACTTGTGAAATTTGTGATCTGATTCCAAAAACAAAACCACCATTTCCGTAGTACAGTGGAAGCAGTTCCTTCTGTATAGCGACCTCATACTCCTTTGCTTCTCTGGGTGCAGTGGTCCTTCTGAGCCAACATCTCTGTGGATGGTTTTGTTGAGCAGTGAAGCAATGATACTGCCACCTCTCAGAAGCACAAACTTAAAATGCAAGAAAAAAAACACTTGCAAGGTGTGTGGCAATGTGTGTGGTTTATAGTTCATCCTGACTGCATTACAGTCATTTGGCAGGAACTGAATCTGTAGGAACTTTTACCTCTGTCACATGGATGTGCAAGGAGAGCTGTGCTGGTGTGGCCTGGTGGTAATCAGGAGGACTTCTTAGCTGGTGCAGACTGAGAGAAAGGAGTTGCTGTTTTCAAACCTTGCATCTGTTTATTAATACCTGTGTGTGCCCCAGCTGCCTGGCTGTCCCCACCCCCTCACTTGCTGTAACACCGAGGCCATCTTTAGTTGAAGGTAATATAGTAGATGATGATCTATGGCTTGGACTTTATTTAACCCAACCTTTGGCAAGAAAGTAAAGAATTCTTTATTTTGAAGATACTAACTTCATGTGGGTTGAATAATGCTTTCTGGAGTTGCCTGTGGCTTTGTTTTTTGAATCCATGCAAAGGACCTCATGTAGAGAGTTCCTTATTAGGCAACTATGAACCTTTTTACCTGTCTTGGGCTTGTGTGAGTGTGTGAGCTTCACTCTTAGCAACCTCCTGCATGGGGAGCAGGTGTGGGATGGTGGAAGTGAAATCCAGAATGCTGCTTTGAAATGCTGTAAATTCAGAGCTCATGTCAGTCCTGGTTCAGCAATGAAATACAATGTTGTGGCTCAGCCTGCTGCTACAGGAACTGTCCTTCCATGGGTTCAGCTCTGTAGTAACTGTAAGACAACATGGCTTTACTAAGCTCCCATAAACTAGGAGAGTATGAATGTCTTTAATAAATGCTTTGTTAACTGAGGTAAACAGTGAGTCTTCTATTGGAGGTAAGTTTGTTATTCACTAAACTGGTGAGTAGGTGGTTGGAGAAGGCATTCTTAATGTACTCCTGCACCTTCTAGTCTTGTCTGTCTGAGCTATGGCCCAGTACAAGAGGCTTTGGGGAGATTAGACTTCTACTTTCTTTGGTTCTGTAATAAGATTCATATAGAAACTGCTGGGTGGCCTTCAGAGATGTCTGAAGTAGGTCAGTGACTCACTCCTGTGCAGGATGTTTGTACCTTGCTCACAGCGTTACAGCATACCAACCTTTTAATTGAATGGGGTCTTTTTATTTAAAAACAAACAAACCAAACAAAACAAAACCAAAACATAAGGTTTCAAGCAGACAGCTACTGCAGGAAGGTGATGAAAACAGCTTTCTAACCCAGCTGTGTGCTCATGTGGCAGGACAGAGTGCTGCCACTGGCTCTAGACCAGGCCTGCAGTGCTTGATAACCTGTTTACCTGAACTCTGGTGTTGGCTTAATGTGCTCTCTGCACACTTACTGCAGGGCTGACTCACCAGCAGCACAGAGCCCTTAGCATGTGGCAGTACTCACCAGCACTGTTAATCACAACCCAGACACAATCTGGAGAGACAGGAGGAGTCTGCCAGGTGTGCATGAAAGCACACACTTGCAGAGCACGTGTGCTGTGTTAAGTCATGCATGTCAGAAATCACAGGAGAAGTTCTCTCTGCTACAGAAAGCACAAACACTGCAGCTGAAATGGAAGATGCCTGAAGTGCATAGTTTAAGTAAAGCCACCTTGCCACGTATTGGGCAAAGTAGTGAAGCATAGCCCCAGCTACTTATAGCAGAATTGCTGAATTACAAACAAGTTGAATTGTAGGTTTTTTTCTGTTCTGTGCACTTGTACATGATGGATTAAAAACAATTGTGAGGTGGCTCATCAGCATTTTCAAATGTTTTAGATGCTTCACACCTTTGGTGATGTGAGAAATTCCACAGGTCTCAGTGGGAACTGTGGTAGCTGAGTTCTTACCACATGGCTTCACTGCTACACGGGAGAAGAACCTGCAATTTTGAACATAATCCCGTGCTGCATGTCCCACCTCATGGTGAAAGCATGGTGAAAGCATGGTCCCACCTCATGGTGAAAGCAGAACCTGGAAACATCTGAAAGCTCAGACTTCATATTCAGTGTGAAGGAAGTTGTTGACAAAAACTGTAAGCTGAAGGTTCTGCTGTGTGGCTGTTTTTTAAAAGTTAATATCTTAGGATGTTGTGACTTAATTGTCTTCTCATTATCATGGAAGCAGGAAGGTTGTCTACATGGCCTCTCATTTTCGTGCTTCAGGGGCACATAGAAGAAAATGTGTGATACAGTTCAGAAGAAAGGATAGAAGCTGAAAGGTTTAAAATTCCAAATTTAAAATACAGAACTTGAATTTTAAAAGAACTAAAGAAACTTGAAGGAATATCATGCCACACTAACTGTTTGTACATATCTATGAATTTGAAGCATTTGACCATAGTTTGTCTTTTGGTTTGTGGAAGAGCATTGGAGAGCCAAACTGAAGTTCAGGAACATTACATTACAAAATGTAATTTTGGCTTAAGTCTTACTGGGAGGACACAAATAAATTTTGTTCCCCTACACTGATGGTTACTTAGTATTGTCTTTCTTAGTTTCCTTGCAGGAGCAGTGTTCACCTCCGTGCATGTAGCAGTCAAGTTTTTTAGGTTATTTAAACAAAAGGAATGGGTCTGTGATACCATATCAACTAGCATACTTGCAAAACTGCTATCAGCTTTATTAAGCTAGTCTCTGCTTAAAAGCTTTTGTGGCAGACTGTAATGAATCTACATTTTTACACTGATTTTGAATTGTCAGTGTGCTCATGTACAAAATCTCTACTTGAACTGGGCTTATTGTAGCTTGCTGTGTGTGATTATCTGGCATTAAACCAGAAGCAAGAGCAGTGCCTACTGCACATTATTGTGGCACCTGCCATTGAGAAAGGAGGAGGTTTGTTCACCTGCACAGTAAGGAAAATAATGCATTAATTCTGTTTCATAAAACACTTAGCTAACAAGTTCTAGGGGAATGATAGTATGACAGAAATATGTGTGTTTTTAATAACTTTAGGGAATGTTAAATAGCTTACATGATCTGCGTGTTTAAATAAGCAGTAGTGTATATCACTTATTCTTACAGCACAGAGACCACTGCTTCATGTTTAACTGGATGTTATGTTGCTGTGTATCTGTAAAAAGCCCTTGTGTCTAGCTAGATGGGTTTAAGGCCTCAGTTTTCAGCCTACATCTAGATTAGACTAATGTTTTCTTCCAGTTTCTAATTCCTTGGAAAAAGTGAGAGCACAGAAAAAAAATAAATCTGCTTGCAGACAGTAAGGCCAGAAAGCTGTGGTGAAGAATGTATTTTGAGATGGATTTGGCAGAGCAGGTGGGTCAGTTTCAGTCCAGTCAGAGCTGTTATCTCCGGGATGCTTTTGTCAACAAAGGTTCAAGTGGAAATAAGGGAGTTTGAGCTGCAACAGTGTGTGGGAACTCAGTGACCTAATAACAGATGCTGGGTCCCAAATTGTCATCTTCTCCCCTCCCTGCTGCTCCTTTCTTTACAGTTAAACAGCTGGCACAATCTCTTCTGTATCAACAAAACTATTTTATATTCACTTAAGAGAATGGGAGGGTCACTGTAGCTGAACACCTCTTCTAGCAATGTCCACACAACCAAACTAGCACTCTTCCCCTAGAGAAGAAGATGCTGCGGTTAATCATAAGGTTTTGCTTCAACTTATATATTTTTA